TCTCAGCACTGCATATAAATAAGTGAATAAAGTAAAGGTGTGTGTGTGTGTGTGTGTGTGTGTGTGTGTGTGTGTGTGTATGAACATAAGAACAAAAGTGTAGTGGAAAGGGGGTACAAACTGGACTGCTAGTGGTGAGGCTGGGCTTTGCCAGAACCCTTCCAGGATGAAGATTCCATGAATCTGTGGCCGAAGGTAGGGTGAGAACTTACAACTACACTTACCATGTCCCCTCAGCAAATGCTTGCTTAATGAATAACTGGGTTTTGGTTGGGGAGTAGAAAGGGAATTTAAGAAAACAATTTTTTTTTTAAATGAAAGCAAACAACCAGCTTTTTAGTTACAGAAAACTTCCCAACTCTACTGGATATGAGAAGTTACCACTGCAACAAGCTGAGGCGATCTCCTATATATTTTCCTCATCACACAGCCTGATTGGCCTGGAGTCCAGTCCTGGGCTAATGAGCACAGCCTTCCTGTGCAGGTGAAACCAACTGTGGTTGAAGATGGATTCAGAGTATGACAACTGTCAACTCACCTGTAAGAAGCCTCTGCTTGTCTGTTAATGGTTCCCTTCCATTCATATTGGGATAGCCAAGATCTACAGAGCTTTTAATGATAAGCTGCCACAAATTTTAATGACAAGCTGCCATTAATCTGTCTGGTGCTGACAGGATCTAGAWTAGGGTCAGGAGGATTTGAAAAGCCACAAAAGGGTGTGGAATACCCATGAGATCAGAATGTTAGTCTGTGATTCCAGTCTCAGTCTTTCAAATGTCATAGACTCAATAGGGAGATCATCTAGTATAACTTTCCTCCTTCTTCCTTCCTTTYTTTTTCTGTGTGAAGTATATATAACATAATTTTCCAGTTCAAACATTTCTAGCCCTAAAATTCAGAGGAATTAAGTATATTTACAATGTTGTGCAACCCTCACCACTGTCCATTTCCAGAGCCAATCCACTTCACTCACAGTCAACAATGCTCAAGTCTCAAGAGATGAAATGATTTATCTAAGATCACACAGCTAATGGTAGAGCTGGGGCTAGAACCCAGGCCTTCTATTCGCTAAACTGTGCTCTCTGTACTCAATCACYCATTTATTTACACTTTCCTATAATTTGTGAATCTCCTGAGCAAGTCATACACATATGCCCCAGAAACTTCCATATCAGCATCCAGAGGGCAGATTGCAGTTTCTCAGTATATGAATAGGCATCATATACTACATCATATTCTACACATGACACTCSTGACACCAAGATATACTTCAGCAATCATTGGTGACACATCTGAGTTTCTTAAGCAATGTAAGATGAAATGAAAAGTACAATGACTTGGGTTTAGCAAGACTTGGATTCTAGTCGATCTTTCGATTCTCCATGACATTTCAGGGAGCTTAATTCACCTCTTTGAACCTTAATTCCTAGCTGGGTGATCCCAGTGATCCTGGAGGCTGATGCAGGAGGATCACAAGTTTGAGGTCAGCCTCAGCAACTCAGCAAAACCTTGACTCAAAAAATAAGAAGGGCTGGGAATGTAGTTGAGTAATATA